CTGGTTTTGAGACTTATTTACATGTTTTCTCATTTCGACTGGGGCGGGGGGCTGTTAGCGCCTGGACGGATTACCTCCTCTGAGCTGGGAGAGGTGGGACAGGGGCCGGGAGCAGCAGTAGGGATGGTAACCCGAAAGCCCTTTCCTGTGGGCTGGGAGCAGCGGTAGGGATGGTGGCTGGGAAGCCCCTTCTTCTGGACCAGGAGCAGTGGGACAGAAGGTGGCCCAAAAGCCCTTTCCTCTGGGCTGGGAGCAGCGGGAGGGATGGTGGCCCAGAAGCCCCTTCCTCTGGGCCAGGAGCAGTGGGACAGAAGGTGGCCCAAAAGCCCTTTCCTCTGGGCTGGGAGCAGCGGGAGGGATGGTGACCGGGAAGCCCCTTCCTCTGGACCAGGAGCAGTGGGATGGTGGCTCAGAAGCCCCTACCTCTGGGCCGGGAGCAGCGGGACTCAGTACCTTGGTCTGGTGGTCTGGTGTCCTCTGTGTCTTTGTTGTGCAGAACCAGGTGGCTGCCTGTCTGCAGCGGTGTGATTTGGCGTCTTCTGTGTGACTGGGGAACCTTGGTAGGGCATGGGCAGACCTGCCTGTCTGCAGCGGGGTGATTCGGCGTGTTCTGTGCGACCGCATTTTGGTCTTTTAGAACTTGGTGATTCAGGGCATCATCCTAGGAGGAGGTGTGGTTGTTAGGTGAGGTGGGAGTGAGTGGGGAGGAGAGGGTTGCTCAGGTCAGAAAAGACTACCTCAGGACCCAGGCTCAAACATTTTGGTCCCTTATGCTTTACAGGTGACCTGGAAGCTGGATAGCTTAATTGGCAGCAGCTTGGGACATGGCATTAGTCCCAGATCACTCATAGCTATGTCGCTTTCAGCTGTGCTGTTGGCCATATCCTTGATGGGCCAGAACCTCAATTTTCTAATGCATCAAGTGGGGATATAGGGACTACTTCCCGTGGTCATTGCGAGGATTAAATGATGTAATGCATGGAAAAATATTGGCACAGTGCCTGGTATACCATAAACACTTAATAAGTGTTAGCAATTTTTATCCTTACTACAACTGCTTTTACAATGGAATCAGGAGTTCAGTGAGTATCCAGCAGGGGCTCCCCATGTCAAAAAGGGGAGTCAGGTGCAGGGCTCAGCCTGATCATGTGTCAGGCCCGGGTACTGCTGCTCTGTGGCTGTGGCTAATAGGTCTCCTCAACTGGTAATTATAATTGCCTCTTTATTGTGGAAAACTTAAAAGAAGACTGACATATATCGCCCAGAACAAAGATATAAGTGATACTTGGAAGGCATGACTAGGGATGTCTAAAAGTCTTGTGGAGGAGGAAATTGTTGGTGTCCACTCATGGTGACCAGCTCAATGTCTGGCCGATACAGAGGACTCTAATCATTGGGATTTTGCAAATGTACATTATGGGGTGACTTCTGGGACTTGTGCACCAGAGCCATTGGAATCTTGTTCAGCTCAGCTTCAATGTCCATCATCTGATGGAATGTGCCTGGAATGTGTGATTTTTCTTCAAGGACGAGTACGCTGTGGGGTCAGAGAACAGAGGTCCTCTGCTTCACCATCAAAAGCCCGAGTCCAGGAAGTAGTTGTCTGACCCTTGAGATCTCCCTGATGGATTGTTCGTGTAAGATATCAGCACAGTGCCTGTCAACTCTGTTGCATGTTTGACTTATTGGAGATTTTATTTTTTTAGAATAAAAAAAAAGGGGGGAGTCAATCTTGCTTTATCTGATGCTGGGAGCAGTCTGTGCTACAGAAGATGTTGGCTACTGGGCTTTTCCATGGTGGCCAGAGGCCCTGGCTAACTAGTGACAACAGACTCAGGTTTGCCTGGACCAATAGCAAGGAAGAACATCCTTCCTCTTGGAGAGATGGAACCAGGCAAAACCATGGCTGGAGAAGAGTCCTGGGCTTTAGTCCCTGGACAGTGCAGCCAAGTCAGGTCATTTGTGGCATCTGATCATAGTCACATCAGGTTAAGAACCTGGGGTATTTATGCCTTTCTCAGCTTTTTCTTTCTTCATGTTTTGAGACAGAGTCTTACTATGTAGTTCAGGCTGGCCTTGAACTCACTATGTAGCCCAGGCTGGCCTCTAACTCATGGTGGTCCTCTCAGCTGTATTTTAAACCCAAAAGAATAGGTTCAGGGTTAATGTTCCCAGATGTGTCGAGTTAACAGGTATTATATCAGCCAGCCTCCAAGATGGCGGCTTCCAGTTTCTACTTTATGGTATTCACACTCCCGTGTAATCTCCTGTCCCCCACATTGAATGTAGCTGATCCAAATAACCATGGGATTGTGGAGATGATGGTATGTGACTTCCAATGATGTCACAAAAGACACTGAAGCTTCTCTTCCTCCTTCTCTCTCTGTCTCTCTGTCCTCAGTCTGGGAAAAGCCAGCTGCCATGTTTTGAAGATGCTCAAACAACCCTACAGAGGCCCACATAGTGAGGAACTGACCCTTCCAGCCAACAACCCAGCTCCATGTGAATGCATCATCTTGCAAGTAGGTCCTCCAGCCCCAGTCCAGCCTTTAGATGGCTGTGGCCCCAGATACCTCTTCTCTGCAATCTCCTGAGAGACCCTGAGCCCCACTCAGCTAAGCCCCTTTCAGGTTCCCGACCTTCAGAAACTCTGTGAGTTGATAGATGCTTGTTGTTTTCAGCTACTTCATTTTGGAGTGTTCTTCTTTTTTAAAAAACACAAAACATATAAGTCTTCTAAGTAGCCTAGAAAAAAACAAAAAGAGATAATGCTTAACCAAGGTTTGAATTAAAGCTGTCAGATTTCTTTTTTGTGTCTTCTCAAAAGCCTTTAATTTGATGCTGTGTGGTGAATATACAAGAGAGTGACACAATATTGAGGTTTTTCTACAATTTACTCAAGCACAGGCTTTCTGGGCTTTATACCTCCACCCTCCACTTTTTTTTTTCTTTTTGGTACCAGGGATTGAACTCAGGACCTTGCACTTGTGAGGTAGGAGTGGTGCCCCTGAGCTAAATCCCCAGCCCTCCACCCTCTATTTTTTACAGAACATTTCTGGGAACAAATTTATAGGAAGCATATTTGGGTCAATGCTGCCTGGGTTGGGGGACTGGGCTTGTGGGAGGAGGAAAGTTGCTATATTACCTCTTCAGGCCTCAGTTTCCCCATCTGTGAAAAGATATAATAACACTGGGACTCTTTTCTGTGCTATGATTTCAACTCAGGCTGGAGGCGATGCTTACTCCCTCCCATCGTGGTCACTCTTCAGCCAGTTAGGTGCAATTGGGAGAAAACTCCAAGTCAGAATAATCAGGGTATACAGAAGTTATAGCTACGCTAATGCTTTATGTTAATGACTGATGGGAGCAGGTAATTGGAGATGGCAGGAGGGTACAGAGTTGTGAAGAAATTTTGGTTCTTAGAAAAAATACTGCATTCAAGGAGCTTAAGAATGATTAATGGAGGTTCTGGAATTACAAAAAGCAACTAGTAGAAACTGTTTGGAACAGAAATTGCTCAGGGGAAGTAACCTTGAGAAAGCTGTGGAGAAAACTGGGAAGATTTTTGTGGACAGAACCCAGGGAAGGGAAGGACAGGGTCTTCAGTGTCCACAGGGAGACATGTGACTGGGAACAAAGGTTTGCTGTGGTCCGGAAGGTGACCCCAGGGAAGTCTGACTTGGTGTGTGGACATAGTTATAATGGAGCTGAATGTGACCACAGAAGCTGGACCTGAGTGTGTCCTCCTCTCTCTTTGTATGGGATTTGTTCCTAATTACTTCCCCCTCTAGGCAGGGACTAGGAGGATTGTGGCCTGTTGAACAAGACCCAGTAAAGAGAGACCCAGGAAATAGCCACACCTTGAAAGGATAACATTTGCAGATCTTGATTGCTGGTTCCATGGATGTTGTTAAAGGGAAGTTCTTGGGTTGAAAACAAAATGGCGGAAAAGCCTCTGTTTCCTTGAAGCAGGGAAAGCCAGAATATCCTTTGTCCCTTACTCTAACAGGGAGGATTTGAGTGAAGGCTGGAGTCAGGCACATTGTAGGACATGCTTGGTCTCTTGCAGGTAAACTGAACTGAGTCCCACAGCCAAACACTGGAGACATTGGCCTCTTCTTGCATGAAATAGCATGGTTGTCATTCCAGACACTGTCACTTGGCATTTATAGTCCTGTCGGCACTGGGTGACGGATGGCAGAGTTGTCCGCTAGGGAGCCCTGTCCTGAATCAAAGCTGCTGGCTGGTTGCAGCTGCCTCCTTGGCCCTCCAGCTCCTTTGGTGCCACCCCTGTGCACAGCTGCCCCACCTTGGTCAGGATCCTTGCCCAGATAGCCTCGCTAGTGAGTGGGCAGCTGGTGGCACCTCTGGATTTTCTGGCTTCTGGTGTGATGGATGAGTGGGCTGTGTACCTCCTGTCCCTGCTGTACCTTGTCCCCAACCTTGCTTACAGAGTGCCACAGAAAGTCACCAGTTCCGGTTCCCCGGGAGCCTGAATCAGGAGTCCAGTGTGCCCTGGGGAGGGAATGGCTGAGGCCTGGGAGGGACCTGGATCCTTGGGATGGACCAACTCATGCTGGCAGAGCATGTTCTGTTCTGCTCCGACTCAGAGAAGCAGGGCCCTCTCCTCCTTGCTCTGTGCTGAGCTTTGCTTTTAAGAAACTCAAGCCTGGGCCAGGGATTTAGCTCAGTGGTTCTGCCACCTGGCTCACAAGTGCAAGGTCCCAAGTTTGATCCCAGGTACCAAAAAAAAAATGAAGCTCAAGCCTAAAGCAGGTTCCTTCCAATCCAGAAGGCCTTTAAGGTGATCCTGTCCATCTGTTTTCCAGGCATTAAGAAATAACCTCTATAGTCATGTGCTCAAATGAAATTGAACCCAGAAGCCCAATAGTTTAAACAGATCAAGACAGAGCCCTGCTTCCTCCTCCTCCCTGCCTCCCTCTGCTCCTTCCCAAGTGGTGCTATAGTGCCTCCGATGAACCTGCGGGACTTCAGGAGGCCAGTAAAAGCCAGTGACGCAGGAAGGAGATAGGAAGTTAGTGTCTCATGGGCACAGTCTCAGTTTTGCAAGATGGAAAGAGCTCCGGAGATGGATAGTGTGGTGGGTCACCAGAATGTGCATGTACCACATGCATATCAATGAGCAATATGAATGCAGAACTGCTGAACTCTGCACCTAAAATATGCTTAAGATAGCCGAGCTCACTGGTCCACACCTGTAATCCAGCTACTCAGGAGGCTGAGACAGGAGGACTTTGAGTTAGAGGACACCCTGGGCAACAAAGTGAGATTGTGTCTCAGATGCTTAAAAAAATGTATAAGATGGTGATTGGATTCACTACAAAATATGGCATGCTAACATTTGAGGAAACAGTGTAAGTAAGAAGGTCCCTGGCACATTGCCCTCACCCTTCTCCCTGTAGCAGGTCACAAAGCCTAGGGAGGACTGTATGACCTTCCCCTAAGGGAACCATGGAACTCCCATGGGAAAGGTGCCTTTGTGTGCCTGGAGGAAGGGAATATCCCTATTTCCAAAGACACAAGGATGCAAAGAAGAACCTGAATACACAGACCATGCTACCTCCCTTTTGTTTACCACCCTTAGATCATACTTTAAAAATAATCTCCAGTGTGACTGTCCACTTCTCAATCCAACCTAGCATAAAAAATACTCGGGCTTACCGTTTCTTTGGGACTTCACTTTCTGGTGAAGTCTCCTGTGCATGTCACAGAAAACATATTAAAAAGAAGTGCATTTGTTTCCCTTGTTAATCTGTCTTATTATGGAGGCTTCAGCCGTGAATTTATGGTAGTTTTCTTCCCTTTTAATGGTCAATTTTGTTACGTATATTTACACACACACACACACACACACACACACACACACGCCAAACCCTAGTAGTGCAGTCCCATTTGCAAATGGGAAGCAGAAGGCAATAATAAGACACGTTTATGAGCTGTTCAGAGGCCAGGAGAGAACCCAGTTCTTGGCAGCTGCAGTCCCAGGCTCTTTCCACGAAGCTTCTCTGGATCTGAGGCCGTGAGGTGGGCTCAGCTGAGCAGTATGTGCAAGGAGGGAGAAAGGAAAGCAAGGGGGAGCCAGGGCACCCAGAGCTGCTGAGCAGGAAGGTGAGCCTCTCTGAAGTTCTTGTCAGGAGGGCCCACCGGCCTTGCTCATTTGAGGTGGGTTGCTACATTTCCACCAAATGAGGTTTTTAATTGCTTGATTTACTTATCTCGTCTCGGATCTGCTGATATACTCCACTGCCTTTTAATTGCTTGAAAAGTTGAGCAGTTTTTCATGTTTTAAGGAGTGCTGAATTGTATAATTAAAACACTAACAGTGTAAATCAACAGTGCAGAAGAAAGACAGCAGAGAATTAAGCAAGTGTGTTGGCATAATAATAAAATCAAATTGGCATGCAGAGGGCCCATTACCAAAAAGATGCTGAATAGTAATAGCAGGCCTGGGGGAGATCGGGAGTGCTCCCCGAGACCCTGACCTGGGCCCCTCCCCACCGGGAGACAGAGGAGCCAAAGAGATGGCAGCTTGTGCAGTCGGTGTGGCCCAGCTCTGGGCAGGGACAAAGGCTTCGACCTGGAAATGGCTTTGAATTAGTGTGTTATCAGGGTGGGCCGGGGCACCCCTACTTAGGAGGGTGCTTTTGCAAGCTGGTAGGTCCTTGAGATTTGGGGATTTGGGGAGCTTTGTGGGCTGCTTTTGTGGCTCAGAGAGAAGGAGAAAAAGGGAAGGTTGGAATATCACCTTTCCATCTGAGGGCTTCCCGACTTCCCCTCCCCCTTCATAGCCCACACACTGCAGGCAGGGGTTTGGTGGCAGCTGGAGTCACTCTCATTAGTAAAATTGCCTTGAGCCCTGTCCCAGCCTTTGCCCACCTATATTGACAAGTCTTAGGCTGCAGACCTATTAGCTGATATTCATAACACCACGTTCCTCACCCTTCTGATGGATGGTCCACAAGCTGGGATCAATATGGCCCTTGTCACATTTACATATTTATATTATTAATAAGCAATAAGTCACCCAGGCAACCTACCCCACTGGGCTTCCAGTGTGCTCTGTGCAGACAGCTGACTTTGGCCTCTGCTCCTTGTACCAACCCAAGCGGCCGGTGTGGATCGGCTCAGTCTGGTGGGACGCAGGGCAGACAGAGCGCAGAGTCAGGTGAGGACAGAGTCTGGAAACTGTACTGGCATCGTTTGTCCTCAGTCTGACACCTTGGCTCCTTCTCACAGTCCAGCATGGAGGGGGACAGCAGTCAGTAGGGTGGTGGAAACCTTTGACCTCACTGCCTCCCAGTCCTCTCCGTCCGCTCCATCCTCATCACCTTCACCACACAGGTCCTTTTTGTCAGCATGTTCCTTATTGCTGTCCAGCCTCCCACCTGGCCTCCCGGCCACCCACTTCCTCTGCCACGACACGCCAGTTTCCTGCCTTCCTGCTGAGCACCTTCAGGAGTCAGCGCTGGGCTCTGCAATCTCCAGCTGCTTTCACACCTTA